CGATTTTCAAAAATCGCCTTCTTGATCTTTTTCAAGATAATGTCTTTATCGGTTAATCGGGCCATAGATCTTGCATCAAATATTTCGGGCCATTTAAAGAGAAATAAATTTTGTTTATATTGTTGTTCGAGTTTCTTTGCAAAAGATCAGGTAATAGGGGTAGTTACAGCAGGGGTTCTGTACAGTTTGAACTTCCGGCGTTTTCATTTGAGATAAATTCTGATTGTTCGACGATTTTAACAGTTTAGAGTTTAATGTGAAGTCGAGTTTTTGGCACTCTGGAGAACACAAATTCTGCTCGGTTGTGAGAAAATGGACACACGTAGAAATATGTTGAGTCGTGAACAGTTTGAAGCTGTTCTGCAGCCTATTGAGTTAATTGTTCTATTTCAATTTCTTTCTCGATTTTGTTCTCATAGTTTTGATCAATCACGTTGCAGCAAGCATCCTTTCACACTTTGAAAGCTGTCTGAAATGAGCTGTCCTTTGTAACTATTTAATTGAGTTTTTTTTCATTGCCTTATCAAAGCCTAATGACATCCTTATTTTATCCACCGATGCTAAAACGAATTTTTCGTCGTTCTAAAAAATTGATGTTTATTCGCTTGTAAGGTGGCGTAGAAGATAGTCAACAAACCCTATGTCTTTATCTGGCATACGCTCGACTCAAAAATTGTATGAGAGTAGTTTATCGGCCTTCCGAGTTAACCTTGGTTGGGCTGTTTCAGCGTATCGGTCCTCTCCTAATTCCCCAATCTGTGCTCTAGGGGCGGTTAGGAATTTAAATTGTGACCCTAACAAATAGAGTTTTTAATTTTCAATGACCAGACTAATCCTATCAGTTCTAGTTTATTTGGGCTGTTTTTATTCTCAGCTACGTTTCAGAAACGTGAGGCGAACGCTATAGTTATCTAAACTCCATTAATGTTTTGTTAGATTGAAGAACCAAATACCAGTTTCTTTTAATGCCTCGAAGTGATGGTTCATTACTGATTTGGAAATTTCAGTTTTTTTTCGAAGGCTTCGTAATGTTGTTTCGTCCAACGGAAATGTTTTATTTCCTGCATTGAATTTCCGAACGGCAATGATAGTGTCGCCGAGGTAGGGATGAATTTGCTGAACTGATTTATCAGTCCCATTGATGATCATATATCTTTTATGCATCTTGGTTCCGTCAGATTTTTAGTTGCGTCAGCTATATGTGTCAGAGGTTTCGTTTCGACGTTGTTTCTATAGAACCCAACCTTACAATTTCGTGTGTTAAGAACTCGTTATTTTCCAAATTAATGAATAAACTCCCAACGTTTAGAGTTTTCAACAAGATTAAAACTGTCTTACTATAGTCACAGGCTCTTCCAAAACTAGCTATTAAAATATCATTAAAACAGCAATAGCTATTTGTTATTTCAACCCTAGCATATCAATATTACGTTGAAAATCCTAGGGTATATCACCCAGTCCGTAAAATTTGTTTTAAAACGGTATGAGCTTGTAATGTCTCCACCTGCAATGTTAAACTTGTATCGATTACTTGCTTTAGAAGACAGTGGGATCTGCTCATAAGCATACTTAAAATCTATTGATGAGAACCATACCGAGTTTGCAGTTTTTCCGACAATTGGGGTTACCACATTATCTATTAACTCGAAAAAAAGGCGTTTGATAACGGTTTTCGAAGATTTTCCTACTTAAAATTTTCGAGTTGAGGACTGTCTTAATTGAGCCGTCTCCTTTAGCTGTTACTATGATAGGGCTGATAAAAAAGCCTACGAGCAATTAGATAGTTTTTCTACGTGTCCGTCTTTTAGGAGTTGGTCAACACCTTTTTTTATTTTAAAAGAAGATGTATTGGAATTCGTTTTCCCTTTAACTGAATGGGTTTCAAAGGTTCCCTAAAAAAATATTTCCTTAAAAATTGTTGGAACTAACTATTCTTGTAGAAAAATTTGGAAAATGTTCAGGCGTAAGTTTTCCAAACTCACAAGTTGGCGTTTTCAACGATTGAGTTGGTAAATTTGTCAGATTTAAATTGGTTTTTATACTGAACTGCAGTGCTGTATAATTGGTTTTGGCAGATTTGACTATTTTGTATAGCTAAAAGGGCGAGAAGTTGTGACAATTTGATGCCCAATTTTTGAAGGATCTCATTTCCCAATAGGTTTCACTCGGCTCCCTCGGTAATGAATAGCTTCTGGTCTTTTGCTATCCATCCATTTGACTGAGTTTTTACTATTACTCTTTCTATCATTTTCATGTCGTTAACCTAAGTTTCTCTTATATTGTTAATTTTAGTTTTTTCGTCGATTGCCAATATTTGAAAAAAAACATCTAGGTTAACGCCAAATTCTGGATCCATATCAGTGTTCTGGTGATGGCTTGCTTCTTCGTCCTCTATATTTGCTTCGTCGACGACCCTAGTGTGGACTTATGGTCTTCCTCCACTCCTGCAGTGTTTTGCGAGATTACCTTTTCGTCCACAATTATATCATGATTTTTCTCTGGCTGGACATACCAAGAGATATCCTTTTTCGGTTGGTTGCCCACAGTTTTGACACTTCTGGGTTTCTGATATGTTTAGGCTCGGTTCGTTTTTGTCATTCGTGTTTCTGTTTCTGTTCCTTTTTCTTGGAAGAGTACATAAGCTAGCTCGTTTTTGGAATTTTATCATTCGACACAGAGTTTCTTCTGTATCTCCACTTTTCTCATGTTTGTTATAAAGGTGTACCTCACCAATTCTGCCTCTAATGTTCCCAAACTACAAATTTTTGCCAGTTCGGTCATGTAAATTTTTCATTATCTTTTTGACGTCGAATAAAAGTTTGAAAAGGCTCGTATGTAAGATTTGTTTCCAATACAAAATTTGTTTTGAGCAACTGATAAAATTCTGCGAAGTTTTTTATCAAGGATTTTTTTTCTGGTTGTTTGTGGGCAAAATTTTTTGAGCCTCTCTGCCTAACGCTTGGTAAAGCTGAGATATGCGCGTTTTGTCATAGTCTCCAATTTTTTGTCCATTGAACTTGTTGATGTCTTTTTGTCTGCCCCCGTTAGCATCTTCATTCTCAGCCGGCTGTTCAGGATTAGGGGCTTGTTTTGCTTTGCGTTCTGTTGGGTTGATGATATCATCTACTTCTACGGAAATTTTTGCTATAACTGGGAGAGGGAATTTTTCTACCCGTTTTTCACAAATGTAAGGGATATCATTTGTTGATTGATTCCATATGAATTCCAATACTCGTAAGATCGAATCGATTGACTGTGCCATGTAAAGATTTCCTTTTCTGGTTCCTATTTAGACAACTACGGAACGATGATCAAAGGAGTTAAGAGCTGAATTGAATTTATAATGTCTGATTGTTAAGGAAACAATGCCTACAAATGTGCAATGCTCGTCCAAAAGCTACATCGATTTTGATTAGTACGTCCTACCAGCCGTGACACTTAATGCTTGTATAGCAGTACTGCAAAATGATGCGTCAATGTGATCATGAGTTATAGACACTCCACAAGTACAAAGAGATTTATTTTGCACAAAACAAATTAAGTAGACCGAGAGCGGTGCTTCGGTTGAATTTGAAACGCTTTCTAAGACAGATTAAAATTCCGCTCACGCGTGAATAGTGCTTTATACCTCGCACGTTCATTATACTATTTTAGCAAAATTGAAACCCCCATAAATTTGCAAAAATTGACTATTTGGAATGTCTTTTTTAATTTGAGCTCAAAACAGCAGTACTTATCAGATGGTTAAAATTTTCCGTCAAAAATGTGGAGTTAAAATATGGATTTGGTCTGAAGAAAAAAAAACAATACTGGGACAAATATTCCGCCGTTTTCTTCGAAATTCGGAGCAAGCAGTTCAAGAGAATAGCAAAAAGGGTTTTCTTGAAACCTCCAGAGTTTTCTTGCAAGTAATCACAGTTTTGATTTCCGAAACTGGTATGAATGAAAAAGCCATATCAAGCATATTTCATATATTCCTTTACTCTCTTCGAAAAAAAAAGTATTTAAAGTAAAACGAGTACAACATTGATCCAGTTGGTTATTTCTCCGGATATTGATTTATTTCAATTGGACATAATCTATACAGATATCGGTATCATGCAAACCAGCAGGCGTACTAATTATAGTTTATAAGCGGCCCGGGTTGACCTCCATAGACCAAAAATGCTAATCATACAATTCCATAAACTAAGTCTATGAAAAAATACTAGTCACACAAATTTCATACATTTTGCTAAAATGGTGTCGTCGAATTTTCGAAAAACTTTTCTCTTGTTTTGACATAAAATTCGGTGTATCGTACTAAATAAAAAAGAAAAACTTTTTGTCAAAAAAAAAATGCTAATCATACAATTTCCATATATGGAAAATGTATGACTAGCATTTTTTTGATGGCGACGACAAAAAAGTATTTTTGAAATTGTCCTCGAAAAATTTTTTGTGTTTCTTTCAATCGCAAATTGGTTTTCGTTCTCAAACAAACATTTTTTGAAAAAAAAAATTTTGTATGCAAAAATTAATTTTTTGTGTGTATAACGTAGTCCTGGATATACTAATGTTGGATTTTTTCCTTTTCTCTTCATAACTTTTTTCAAAAACGCTTAAAACCTCTCTTTCTTTTGTATGACATGTTTTTTTGTATGCCTTGATCGATGTCTGGTAATTTAAAAATTCAAATTTTAGAAATAATCATCTTTGAAAAATTTTGCGAAAATTTAAATGTTCGTTACTTTCGTTATATTATGTGTGTGAGACAGAATTCAAACGTTTCAGGCTGTTTCCAATGCATTTTGAATGCAAGGCGGCCAACCCTTTGGTTACTGCGTTTGAGTAACCAAGGTGCATTTCAGTTGTGTTCGGTCACGAACACAACCAAAAAAAATTTGAGAAATTAAAATGTAACAAAGCAATGTTTTTGGTTTATGGAAAAATGCTAGTCATACAATTTCCATACATGAAAAAATACTAATCATAGACCTTTCATGCAATTTTCCGTACATATGGAATCGCATTATTATCATTTTAAGTTCAATTCAATTGGGGGTTCACTACTGTGACTCCTTTCTGATTCTATTTGTCGATCTGTTCAGGGCTGAGGCTGAAGGAGCTCCTGGGCTTAATGTCCGGCTGGTGTATCTTCAGCTGGTTCTTCATTCTCTCCTTCACCACAGTCTCGGGAGGGGGGATCCAGAGCTCCTTCCTGGAATTATTCGCCTTCAGATTGTAGTCCGTTCTCTTCTCATAGGTGTTGTTGATGCGCCAGGTTACAACTGGGTCGTTCCAATCCCCACTGTGTTCCGAGTTGTGGGAGGCTGCAACATTCACCCGCCGTACCTTAAGAAATTTTTTCATGTTAATTTTTTTTCAAAAAGCGGAAGAAAAAAATTTCAATTGTGTGGTGTAATTTTCAACGAATAACAATTCAAAATTTTTAGAAACAAATATCAAATTATGCATCTTGCTAAAAAACAACAAAACCTTCTGAGCATTTTGCGCCGTTTTTTACGCATAGTATGCATCCGTTGCTTTTTGTCCAAACAAAATCTTCGAAGCATAAGAAATACAGCACTTGTTAAACAATCGTGAACTACAAGACGCAATAGTCGCGTTTGAAGTTGGAAAAGGACAAATAAATTAAATTCCCGCTCGTTTCAAAGGGTGATTTTTTCTGTAACCCGCTAATTTGAAAACTTAATTTCTGTACTTTGTTCTTATTTGTTTTGTTCGATTATAATGAAATTCGACGCATACTAATTAGACCAATCCAAAAAAATAGGTTTTAAAGTCAAGTTTTTTTAAAGGAAAAACAGCATAAGTGTTTATTTGTGAGCCTTGCCCGTTTGAAGAGCTTAGTGGCATTACAAGTCCACATAAATTGTCCCCCTGCGGCAACGAGGAGGGGGAGGAGGGAGGCGGCCCCCAACCAGAGCAGCAGGAGACAGTAGCCCATTTTAAACCCCCCTTGACTGTCCCCGTTGACGTGGAACGCATCTGTCATCAGGGTTGCCGCCAAAAATGCAAACACACCTGAAACACACCGACAACCGACTCGATTCAGCTCACTTTGCTTAATCTTACGTAGCCGAAAAATTTCAATATCACAACCATTATGGAAATTATTATTCCCAATAGATTATGGCATATCTTGATTTCCTCAAAAGGGTCATTTTATATTTCAGAATTTGGTGGATAGTTAGGAAAACATATCTAAGTTTTGAGAAAAGGTTTTTGCAAATTCCATTTACGGGAGCACTTTTCGAAAAATTTGAACAAAAATTTTGTGTTTTTCATGACCAGGCCCCCACCTACGAATTACTACATATTGGCACAAGAGCTAGGCGCCTCCTGAAAAGTATTTGATTTGGACTTCCAGAACAGGTTGGTTTTTACAATTGAGATTTATTTGTCTGACTCGAAACAAGCGAATGGTGACATTGTTTTGGTATGATTTAAAAACACATACATTAAAAAATATATTTTTCAAAATGAAAATTTTTGCAAATGGGGAGTTTTTCAAACATGCAATGACCGGTTGCTCAAATTTTCAAAAAAAAAGTATTTCAAAAAGAAACTTTTTGAATCTCTATTTAGGCTCCAATTTTTTATATTAAAACAGAATGAAAGAGACCAATTTTTACTTCGAATTGTCCTTTGATATAGACAAAAACTTTAACTTGTTTTCTTGGCTTATTGTTCACAAAAATGAAAGTAGAAGTTCGAATACCTTGGATGACCATCAGTGTCACGTGACCAGAGTAGAGAGAACAAGTGGGTCCGAACTTGTTCACAACTTCATAAACACTGAGCAAGATGAACAACATCTCAATCACACCCACTACATTGGAGAGGAGGAGGAATGCCCTGGAGGCACACACTTTAGCCCAATCTCCACTCCCCTCGGGCATGTGAGAGCTCTCTAATAGAAAATATCAGAATAGAGTTTTGATTAAGGCTGCAAATCAGATGTCAAGCCTGACATGCCTTTATTCTGTCGAGACGCTTCAGTTTTTTCCACTTCCTCGAAAGAAACTTTGTATAATTTAACACTTTTATCAAAAAGTGTTCAGTCGGTTTGCGGCCTGAGGGAGGTGTATTTTTTAATTTGATCTACAAGAGTAAAGAACTACTTATCTGGTAAAAGATAAATCTCATAAAATGATGATGATTACCCGGAGTGACCAAAAATGCTAATCATACAACTTTCATATATGGAAAAATGCTAATCATACACTTTTCAAGCAATTCCATAAGTACAGAAAATTGCATGAAAGGTCTATGATTACCATTTTTCTATATATGAAAACTGTCTGACTAATATTTTTGGTCAACCCGGGTAGTCATCATCATTTTATGGGACTTATCTTCTACCAGATAATTAGAATGGTATGATTAGCATTTTTGTTCTTTTGTTCTATGGAGTTCAACCCGGGTACTTGTTTGGAAATGAGAAATTTATAAGAGTTAAGAGTCAGTCAATTCAAATCGAGTGATGATAATTTTAGGAGAAAGTGACGGACCAATTAAGGTTGTTTTCCGGTTGTTTTTTTTTGACCAATTTGGGTTTTTCACTAACCAGTTTTGAGCGTAATTTTTTATATTGACATCCTGAGCTAAAATTTAAAAAGTTTTTATGCCTGTGATTTATGCGCGATCTAATTTCTGGTGTTCGGGGTGATTTAATCCAGCTCAAAACTTAATCCATTGAAATTTGGCAGCCCAAAAATTTTCATTTTTCTTCTTGTTCCGACTTTCGAAAAAGTAATGGAATAATTGTGCTCGGGGTTAGTGTTTTTCTCTAGACAAACTTTGACTTTTTAACTAATTTTGACCGAATATCATTCGAAAGCTATTGTTGTCCTTTGCTCATATTTAGAAGTTCTTGTGACTCATCTACGTAAAAATATGGAGGTTTCAATTTAAAAATTGTCGATTTAGCTCTACAACCTGAAGGGAGATTTAAAGATTGAGGTTTGAAGATTGACAACTTAGCCAATAAGAGATAATTAACGGATTAATTGCTATTATCCCGTGGGCGGATATTTAACCCGTCTCAGAATTCGTTCCAAAATGAATTGATGCATGCTGTTCTATTGACTCTATTTTATGCTTTGCAACATGCAAAACATATCACGTCATACTTTACATAGCGTGAGTGATAATTTAAAAAACTCTCAAAGAAATTTCGAAAAATGTTTTTTTTTCTAAGTTTCATCAACTTTTTAAACCAAACAGTGTTCCCTGGACCTTAAAATCCAGTTCGAATATTCGAAACTTTAGCCTACTACGAGCAATTTTGTTCATCTTTATGATGAGTGTTATTTGCTTGTTTTGAGTTTCCAATTGAGAACCGCCGTTGTGTTCCTATGCGGCAATTTAATTCAGCTCCAAAATGGCTCCAAATATAATGGTACAATAATAGATAAAGTGCAGTCGGATCATTCTTGAGCAAATTCTGATCAATAATTTTAGTCAAGTTTTCAGGCTGTTTCTGCGTGTTTATTATAAGTTAATCAACTCTTTGATTAGAAAACTTATATTAAAACTAACATATATTAAAACTAACTTATATTTTTGTTCAAGGAGCACAGGTTATTCTAAACATAATCATTGAAAAATGCAAAAAATATGTTTTTCCTTCAAAGTAGTGACGTTTTTTGAGCATGGTGTGATGAGAAATTTGTACGGACGTGTACAACTTTTTGAATTAGTCATCACAGACAACGGTTCTATTCGAAAAATTAAAAATTAGTGAAAAATTTTTAAATGCTAAAAAAGAGCTAAATGAATCATCCAAAACTAGTTTTTCCGTAATAAAATCAATTTTTCACTACCTCAGTTGATCAAGCGAGGTTATCTTGCAAGATTATTTTAAAGAAGACTCATCTCTTTAACAGATCATGCAAGATTCTTGCAAGATCTTGCAAGACAACCTCCTTTAAAGATAACCCTAATTCTAGCAAGATCTTAGAAGACACGACTTTTTCGTGAAAAATAAATTTACACAAGAAGACAAGTAATTTTTTTTATCAGTAGAAACTTTACCAGTAGCAAGTAGAAAAATGTAAATACCTAAACAAATCAACATTAATAAGAAGTATATAACCTCATAAAAAATTGAACATTTAATCGGATTGATGTGAACACATATACAAAATATCTTGAGTTGCAAAAACTAGATGAAAAATTCCAATGAAGTCATAAGTATACGTTTTTGAAAAATTTAAATTGAAACGAATAAATTATACCGACAATCTGAAACTATTTATTTGCGAAAAATCAAAAATCGAAAAACATTTGAACATTTTGAAACTTAGTTTAACCAAATTTTTTTTCACCTAGCTTAAACTCAAAACTCTTTGTGACCGTAATCAAATTGAATCTCCATAGTTTTTCGGGCGCTCTGAATAAGGTTTTGTGAAATTTTCCTAGTTGGTTATCCTGCAAGATAACCTCACGTTTGCAAGATCTTGCAAGATAAACACATTCTTGCAAGATCTTGCAAGATAACCTTGCTCTTGCAAGATCATGAAAATCAAACTCCATCTTGCAAGATCTTGCAAGATAACCCTCATTTGCAAGAATCTTGCAAGATAATCCTCCTGGATCGACTAGGGAGTTTAAGCAAAAGTTTATGGTCAGTTTTGAGCGAGGAGGTCTGATGTGGTAAATGACTTCAATTGGAAAACAAAAGAAGAAAAAATAGAGTTAGCTGGTTGATTTGCAAGTAGCCCAGAAAGTTCCGACTGCAAATGAAAATAAATTTTTTAAAGCAACTTTCAATGTTTTTTGTTCATTCCGCATCTGAAAAAATCCTACACATTTATTATATACAATAATAAGAGTAGAAAATGCATAATTGATACGGCTTTTATCGCAAAATTATCAAAAAGCAAACAAAAAGATACGAGACAAAAATTGTTATATAGTTTTTTAAATTTTTAGCAGATATGTTTTTTTTCTAAGATTGTTTGTTTTCAAGAAGGCGCTTTATTGAGATTCAAAAGTTATTATTCCTGCAGTGAAATTAAACTTTTACATCTTACTTGCATATTGTAAGCCTTCTTGTACACTCTATTTACTCAAAATTAGACCAGTTTTTCTGTACTCCATGGAGATTTTTTGGAAGTTGTTTGAAAGAGTTCGAATCGCGGCTGCAAGGGCCTTAATTTAATATATTACTAAAACTCGACCCTTTTGGATGATTATTTGTGGTACCTTGGAAAACGAAAAAGTAGAAAAAAATTATATCTGAATAGGCGCGGATTTTCCAAAACATTTTCCAAGAAGTGCCTAAAAACGCTAATTTTGACTTGTTTTTTCAAAACTTTCTATGCGGTGCAGAAATTTTGGCAAAATAGGATCTTCTTATTGCTTTTGGAGAGCTCGGAAAATCACCTAAAGTTCGACCCAAAAAAAGATTTTTTGAAAATCCGGCCCCTCGTGAAAACCCTAGATCCGCCCAACTAAATCATACTGTACAAAATTCCTGCCCTGTTTCAGTATAAAGTTCTTGCCCCGTTTCAAAGGTCGCAGCAAACACCCTTTTCCGGCTTTTTCTACAGGGAAGCATATTTTGTGATTTTTATTTGTGGTACCTAGTTTATCGTGAAAAAAAAACAAATCCCAATTCTAAACTTCTTTCCTCATGGACGCGGGAAAATTTACTGTAATTTATTTTTAGGATACTTTAGAAAGCAGAAAATTTGTTGGCAAAGTTTGTCCCGGTTGATAGTCAAGCTGATGATCGGAATATACTTAGTTTGCATGTGAAAAATTGAGTAAGAATGTAATTCAGCAAGAAACAAGGCTTTCATTCCTCCTAAATAGAAATAAGAGATAGCATTTAATAGATTCTATTTAGGTTTCCAGATTATGAAAAACGAAACAAGATACGTCGAAGCCGGTTTGAATGTTTTATAGAAGATTTCATTCAATACGGTGCCTTTTCAGCTAATTGATATTATAGACCAAAACCTTGTTCTATTAAATATTTAGATCCCCGAACCCTCTCAAGTATTTGTAGCCTTCACCCAAGTCAAACCTTAGTCCGCTTCTACTTACCCAAATATTGACAACCAGGCGAGGGCTGGCGACATAGCACCCATACTCCCCCATAGACGGAAGTTGCGGCCGACTCTTGTTCCCACTCATTCCAACTCTGGTTCCCATGACCAAAAATAATACACGAAAATATGACACTCTGAATAAACAACCAAAATAAGAGTTTCGCCTTTGTATCTGCGGCCATACTGTGCCACACATGAAGTGAAAATTGAATTCAATATTTGATTACTTCATTAGCTTTCAGAAATGACACAAATGACTTTTCTCAGCTCAAAATCAATTGATACATTAGCCAAACGTGCGTAAGAAAACGCTATTCAGAGCAAATGCAACTGAAAGCTTTCGAGTTTAGTTAGCACTGAAACTTGTTTGAAAATAAATTTAAAATTTTGATATTTGAAAACCAAAAAGAAAGTAACCGAAAAGAAGACTTTGAAAACCGAAATTGAAAACGGAAAAGAAAGTATAAATTCAATTTCAATTTTCAACAACTAAAACCATAAAAAAGTACAGCATTTTTGAAGTGACAAGAAAATCACATGTGATGGAGTTCGCTGAGGTGACGAGATCCAACGAGGTCAAAATCAAAACGAAGCAGGGTTGACATAAAAACATTTTTTTGGAGTTAGAATTGATGGAACTTCGCTAGATTAAAATTTTTACAACTTTAAAAACATAGATCCATTATTAGATTTTTTTAACCAGAAATGATTTTTTTAAATCCCAGCTCTCAATTGAATTTGATTGCTCAAATTCTCAAAAGACCAAACTGCTCAAATTATTGTAGATTTAGAGATATAATTTTTTTGTAGTTAAATAAAAATTACTTTTAAAGAAGACTAAAATTTAAAAATTGATTTTTCAAAGTTGATTTTCCTAACCCTTTAGTTGGGGCTCTCAGAGTACTCTAAGGGATTGCAAATCTAGACTCCAAACATAACAACTCAAATTTTGATAGTTTCCGAGATATGACGTTTTCTTATGTTTTTTTTTTAAAGTTAGAAAAATCAAGTTTGAAGACTCTCAAAATTTGAAGTTCCCATTGTTGTAGTTGGGTAGTGTAAGGGTACTCTCAAGAGATGCCCGTGTTGCGTCTAAATGTGACTGCTGAACTGCTTTTAGTTTCCGAAATGTGAAGCTTCCTAATTCATTTTAAAATTGTTCTAAGAACTTAGATATATAAACATACAAAAACTTATGGTTTTTCAAAGATTGAATTAAAAAATTTTGAATAAAAAAATTTTGAAACACCAACCCTATAATTCCGTGCTGTCAGCGTACACTCAGTGCCTGCAATTTTTATTTCCAATATATGCAGTTTTTCTTATTTGTTAAAAATTCGAAGCACCGGAGGTGCGCTTAACGCTAGTAGTAAGTTAATTGCTGGCCTTGATATACAGATGATCTCAATGGAAACCAGTAAAATTTATATCAGTACGGATTTGTCTGAATTGCCGCTTGAAATACGACTGTTCAAAATAGCGGATCTTTTATGTTATTTCCGCTTAATGATAACCCCCACCCAGAGTAAAGAATTAAATTAACGGTTAACCATATGAGAGTTTTGTACCTAGTAACGAACCTCACTAATCCCACCATTTGCAAAAGCGGAAAGAAGTTAGAGAGATCCAAAATGTTTCTCATATCTTGAGCATTCCTACTTCAGAAAAGTACTGGGTGACTTAGCAAGTCACGTGATAATTTCCATGGGTTTCGATTCAGATTCCGACAAACTTGACTTTTGAGAGAAAAAAATCGATTTTCAATTGGCATTTTTGCCACAAAAAAAAACATCATCACCAACGAGCTACAATTATTTATTTAATCATATGAGATATGAATATGTAAATATATGGTAGACTCGAACACAATATATTGGCTGGATGAGAAGTGCGATCATCTAACCATCTTGTTCTGCAAATCAACCCATATAATCTTCATAAAATTAAAACATGTTCTGGTCAAAGCTCGGAAGGGGTACACTTCTTCTATTCCAGAAAAGTTTAACCCTAAGATTGGTGAAGATTTAACTCTCTGATGTCTCTCCCCACTTCCAGGACATCTGTGTGAAACTTAGTCCAATCATAGCGAAGCAATCAAAGAGGCGGTTAATCGCTCTCGCCAACAATCCACACAAGCAGATCAAATATTTTTTCATTAGCGATATGTTGAAAAGAATTGACATGATTGTAATTACTTAATACCAGAGAGATCTGTTGTGTGTTGAGTTATATGTTGGCAACTTTTGTTTGCTACGGACAAACTATATAGTTTGGTTGAATTGCCCAAGTAATTGACGGTGAAATCTCCTAAGATTTTCAAACTTCTGGCTTCCAAAGCTATATAACTTTGGAAGCCAGAAGCGTGACTATCCACAGAGATTTCACTGTCAATAGTTTGAGTAAACCACAAGCTAAACTTTTCAGCGATTCGATCAAACCATATAAGTTGTCCGTAGCAAACAAAAGGTCGCCAAAACCTAAGTCTATACAAAACAGAACCCTCTTGTATAACTTTTTAACAACCAAATCTTTGTGCAATGACACTCTTTTAGCTGGAGCATCATTCAACACGAATCATCTAATGGCAAGGTTTATTAGTAAAATTGAAAGAACCGAGAAAACAGTTTCATTTTGAATTTCAAAATTCAACAATAAAAGAAACAAAAGTCAACTTCGTGAGAATCTGAATCGAAACCCATGGTGTCTTATCTACCAAAAACAATAACATTTGAAAAATTTTACTTAAGTTTGAAAAATTTTCTACAGAGGTTTCTAATACTCATTTTTGGTTTCGCATTTTTGAAAAGAAGTTAGTCCGTAATATACAACCCTACAATTATTCATAAAAGTTATGATAATAAGGATTATGATTATGACAATAAACGAATAATTGGGATTGGAAAAATAAATTTCACTGAGAATTTATCAGACTTCAGTTTAAGTGAGTTGGGTGATTCGCGAAATATTCAAACGTGAGAGCTGAGCAAGATCTACAATTGTTTTTTTTTTTTCAAAAAACGAATAATAAGCAATGAAGGAAAAAACAGTTTTTGAATTTTTTTTTGCAAGTGTACAAACTTTTTTCGGAAAATCTTCAATGTCAGATAAGCGCTAAACTAAACTTCCACAATTTTTTTTTTCAAAAAAGTTAGGCTTTATGAGCTCTAAAGGCATAGAAAATGAGTTTTGTTACAACAAACGCTACTCGATTGCGTTACTCGCACGATGATAGACCGAAAATCAAAAATCTCGAAGCACTTTTCTCTACACTGGATACGTTTTTGGATAATTTCAAAATGTCGTTAGAATCGAGATTGAAAGAGTTTTAATGTGACATATCACTCAAAACCCAGCCCGATAAAAATTTATGGTACTTAATTTTACAAGGAAAGCAAGAAAAATAGTTAGCTAAAATTAGTCAGAATACAAATTTTCTTCCTCTTTCTCAATTGGTCATAACAATTATTAGTTTCGCGCCTAATCTATTTTTCGCTTTTATATCATACAAATAAAAAATAAAACTAGAATAGGAATCAGTTTCGCCTTTTACACGAGATGGTGATCAGATCACCTTCTCAGAGAAAAAACGTGCATGTGATATTTTTTCAGACGTTTCTCTATTTCAACCGACCATTTTTATTTTAAAAAAACAATGTCCGAAAAAATGATTTTCTGCTTAAGTATTGAAGCAATTTTTGTCTAAATTCAGTTTTCGTAATAATATCTGGTTCGAAAATTACGACAAATGAGATTTAAAACGGAGGCTGCAATTTTGTTCGAAGGCATAGTGCTGGCGGATAATTAGGCCGGCTTTGATGTTATCACAAACTGCAATGATGCAAACTAACATCATCTTGTGTTTCTTGCAATTATTTTCCTTGCAAGTATGATCAAATTTTGCATTTTTTAAACTTTTTTAGATATAAATTTTATATCTTTTTCCTGTTAGATATTGCCTTGCCAAAATTGTAAGACTTTCAAGAACGTTAGAAATATGACCTTGGCCTGTGCTTTTAATTGTCCACAATATTTTGCTGGATGTACTTCCGGATGAAGTTTCGATCAATATTGTGATTTCTTAACATTCAATTTCTTCCAGCTTTCAGATTATCAAAAGTTATCTCATTTAAGAGCTTATTTGGTCACCAATGGATTTAGGGAAGCGGATCTCCCTTTGTGTTTTGAGATTCCCTTTTTCGGCTGACTGAACCTAAAAAATTTATCTAAAGGCGCCTTTGGCCCGCAATATACTCATTTTGAAGGGGAAAGCGGGCCAAAAAAGTGCGATTTTTTTTGTCAAACTTTTCGAAAAAGTGATGCCTAAAAACCTCTGCGTTGCAGAAAATTTGGTCAAAATGGGGTCTTTTTTTCAGTGATTTGGGAGACCTCAGAAAATCAGTTTGGTCGACCCAAAGAAAAGGTCGACAAAATCTTCGATATTTTTTTTTTGAAAATCCTCCATCTCGAGAAAATCCTAGATCCGCCTTTGCAATAAGTACTAGTTCAATTCCAAACTCCCTGGATAAAAGCATATATATATTTTACTAATGTTCAAGCGGGCCAGATACCCTTTATTGTCAGTATATAAACAAAATTTGATAATTTGTGCGACAGCTCGATGTATCGATGTAATCCATTAACAATAATAACAGCGCTGCATTCTTTGAAATTTGATAAGGCACATACGTAATATAGTTTGGCTGGAACTATCCTATTAAATGCTTTAAATCATACCTATTAGATGCTGATCATCGTTCAATTAGGCAATTCAACAAGTGAAAATTTATATAGTTCTTCCAAACTATGACAGTAAGTAGTAAATGAATGATGATGCTTGATGCTTGTCAAACGTTTTGACCGTTCGTTACATTTGCCCAGCTTTGCATAGATGGAGTAGATGAAAATACAAGCGTATGACATGGCGATATTAGATGTTTGCTTTTTGGCAAAGAAACAAGTCTTCATGACAACCCATTGTATCAAAATCTTAGAGCTTCAATAGACCCAGACTTCGTAAACAATCAAGTAGTGAAAAAACCAATCGACCTTAAGTTGTTTCAGAATATGCCAGATTGAAATAACGACCAAAACCGCTGGCAATATTGTTTATTTAGGAGAGTAAAATTATACAGACAGGTAAACAATAAACCGCATGTACAAATCAAACGCACCAAGGATCATGCAAAAAGCTATGCAGCTTATCGAGGCATGACCCTGAAAAAACCTATGTCAGAAGTTGCGAGATAATATCCGACTT